AACCCTAATTTCGGAAACTCCCAGATGACTTGTGGGGAATGGCTCTTGGCCAGCTCCTTCGGGCTGAGCCAGACCGAATTCCAAGCCTAGGGTTTAGGGTTTAGGGTTTAGGGTTTAGGGTTTAGGGCTTAGGGCTTAGGGCTTAGGGATTAGGGTTTAGGGCTCTCACCCTGAACCCTAAACCCTAAACCCTGATGGGTTTCGATTGAAACCTGCCTTACACCCTATATCCTGGCCCTCCCCTGTCAAAAAACCCTAAGCCACGGAAACCCCTGCGTCCGAAGCTGTAGCTCAGGAACCTAAGTCCCAGCACCCAGATGGAAAGAGTTGGAAACTACGAATCTCCCGAAACTCTGGAAAGCATTTCCAGTTTGGGGATTTGTTAAACCCTAAACCTTAAACCCTAAACTAAAGATTGGTGCGCTCCGCACCTTAGCCTTCATTTTCAGAAATATCGGGGTGCCCCGGCACAAAATCTTTTGAGCCAGTTGGCCAAAACTAGGTTGGGGCCCCTAAACCCTAAACCCTAAACCGGTCGAGGTTTGGCATATGCTGCCCAGAGCCAGACGTGTACGACCCTAAGCCTCCACACAGTGGGGAGGCTTTCAAAGCACCGAGATAGAGACAGTCTATGGGTAGTTCTCTAAATTAGGGTTTGTTTTAAGGGTCCTTTTTATAAGGGTGCCGCACTATATTGGGACCCAAAAAGGGACCCTAGTTTAGAGAACTACTCGTATATCTACAGGCAGACCACATCAAGGGCTCATCTGGTGCGAACGTGAGGATACCTTGCCCTTCACTGCAGTCGAGCCATCCCAAAAACCCAGCGCCCCAGCTTTCTAGCACTTGCATGCCTGAACCTACAAGGCGTCTGTTAACGAAGATCTGAAATGGAATACCAAGCCTCTAAACCCTAAACCCTAAACCCTAATCCCTAAACCCTAAACCCTAAACCCTAAACCCTAGACCCTAGACTTGAGGAAGCCCGAAGGCCTCAAGCCTGTCAAGTCCGAAGGACGTTCCCTAATTAACACCATTTCAAGCCTTAGAAAAACCTCACGCAACTCTACAAAGCCTGATCATGCCCTTACTAAACCCTATGAAGCCGTATATATATATATATATATTTTTTTTCTACATAAGACGCTTACAGGCCCCCAAGAACTCCTATGCAAGACCCTTGAACCCTTTAAAGCCTTAGCGCATTTTATGAAGCCACAAAAAAACTCCTTCCTACAAAGCCCCGGAGACCCTTATGAAGATAAAAAAGCCTCATCAAAGCACTTGTAAGCTCTTGAGAAAACGGTATCAACACCCCTGATAAAAACCCTAAACCCTAAACCCTAAACCCCAAACCCTAAACCCTAAACCCTAAACCGTCCCAACGCAATCAGGCAGCCAGTGCCGAAGTCGACCAAAGGCGAGCCAATGCTCTGGCGGACCATGGACAAAATGCTGCTGGCCACGGTTTTGACGCGGTTTTGGGGTTGAGGGGTCAGGGGCTCATGGGTCCAAGGTTTTTTTTTCCGGCACTGCCAGAATCATTCCATCATGATGATGTCGTGTCATCGTCATCAGCATCACCAGCAATCAGCATCATCGTAATCATGGTCATCGTCATCGTCGTCATCGTCACCATCATCATCACCTGCACCACCACTATGATTATCACCACCATCATCACCATCGTCACCATCATCAATATCGATCATCACCACTATCATCACCATCATCATCATGATCTTGGTCATCATCATCAGCATCATCATCA